TCGGACCATGATTCATTACTAACTACCAACTACTACGTACTATCTACTAACTCCTATCTACGCGCTACTAGTTACGAACTACTACCAACTGGGTCGCCACATGTACCTCAGTATCATTACCAAGAAGAGTTCTTTCTCCGGGCAAAAGAAGTCAGACTGATGGGAAATCTCTGTGGCGCCACAAGGGCAGCTCATTGCGATTTGCGAAAGTCAGTTTTGACAGAAGTGTGAGGATCGCTGATGGGGTCTCACCCGGAGAACTAACCCTTTCCGAAGGATCCCCAGGAATCTACACGGATTCGGTAGTACACCCGGAGGACGAACCCTTTTCCCGAAGAGCGAACCTTCCTCCCGGAGAAAGAAGGTACCAATCAACATATTGTATAGGAAGGTTCGGCATGACGCCCGCTAGGTAGTGTTAGCTTCAGTCGCAGCTGGTTTCCCATCGCGTGCTATTTCGCCGGGGACTTGAGGGCAGGATCCGTTGAGATCCAAAGGTTCGCCGACGCGATTTATCACTACTACAGAGTATGTGAATCATTATTCATGACGTGGTGCTATGCAACATGTCACAATACTGTATCGCGTGTTCGGAAGCCCCTGCGCGTTGACGCCAAAACCAGTTATGTTCTGAAGCACGATATCATGTAACTCGATTTGCTGGGGTCGAATCATGGATTCGCCGCGATGGCGAATTGCAATTGCTTACAAGTTGAACCGATGAGTCGTGCAACCCGTAGCTCGTACTTCAGACCACCACTTCCATGTGATGATCGCTTCTGCCAGCAGTTCTGCCGACCATCCCTCGGTCGAGTCGATAGGACTCGTTAGTTATTACGCCCTAAGCCTGGCAAGTGGTGCCAAGTAGCAGTACACATCAGTTACAACACGCCACAAGTGTGATTTATAAATTCTAATGGCACATGTTCGTTGTGGATCGCAGCGGTTCGGCCCGATATCGATTTGCATCCACGGAACACGGCTCCGATCATATTGTAGGAGAAAGCGCTGAGGAGGAGGGGGAGGAGGGGAGGAGGAGGAGGAGGAGGAGGAGGAGGAGGAGGAAGACGACGACGAGGAGGACGAGGAGGACGAGGAGGACGAGGAGGAGGACGAAGAGGAGGACGAGGAGGAGGAGGAAAAGGAGGAAAAGGAGGAGAGGGAGGAGCAGGACGAGGAGGAGGAGGCGGAGGAGGAGTAGGCGGGGGAGGAGGAGGACGACCAGTGTAAACCCAAGGGTCGTCAGCGATGTTGGAATTAACCCTCCTTCAAGCTCCTTCTTCAGAGGCCCCTACAACGGTTCAGCCCATTGGGGGAACTGCTTCGTCGGAAGACAACCAGTTGAAGATCCTGAAGCATGCCAAGACATTGTTTTCGGGATTTCAACGCCACGTATCAACCTGCACTGTTGCGTCTGGGCGCCAGGGTGCTATTTTTTGGATTTCGACACTGCGATTCGACATCATTGTTGCACCCGCATAATGCGGAATCCTGCCAAAACGCCATTTCTGGTACGTGGACCATGGGAATCCATAAAAAAAAATTGCAGCAAAGTTTGAATACGAATGTGCGCGGCGCTAAAGCGAGAGCCACATTTTGAAAACGGCCCGCCCTCAACCAGCGAAATTCTTGCAATGTTTAAAACGAGTGTGCGCGGCGCCACGGCGAGAGCCACATGTTGAAAAAAAATGCCTTCAATCCGTGAAACTTTTCCAACTGTTTATAACGAATGCGCCCAGCGCTAAGGCGAAAACAACATTTTGAAAATGGCCCGCCCTCAATCCGTGGAGCTCTTCCATTGTTGTAACGAATGCGCGCAGCGCTGAGGCAAGAGCCGCATGTTGAAAACGACCCCCCTTTAATCCGTGAAGCTGTTGTTACTTTTTAATATTCAGAGTCATAAATGGTGAGGAAGTCTCAGGCGAAACGCCCGGCCCGCCCTAACAACTGGCCTCGGGGTGCGACACGGAGAAATTATGTATAAGGAGAAGGAATGGAGGAGGAGGAGGAGGAAGAGGAGGAGGAAGACCAGAGTAAACCCAAGAGTCATCAACGATATTGGAATTAACCCTCCCCCAAGCTCCCTCCTCATAGGCCCCTACACCGTTTCATTCCCATTGAGGGAACTGCCTCGTTGGAACACAACCGTTTGAAGATCCTGAATCATGCCAAAACATTGTTTTCGGGATTTCAGCGCCACGTATCAACCTGACTGCTTTGTCTTGACGATCTGGAATCGTGCCAGGGCGCCATTTCAACACCGCGATTCAACATAATTGTTGCACCCGCATAATCTGGAATCCTGCCAAAATACCATTTCTGGTACGTTGATCATGGGAACCCGTACATTTCAAGGAAATTGAACACGAATTTGCGCGGCGCTAAGGCGAGCGCAACATTTTGAAATGGAACCGCCATCAATACATGAAGTTCCTGCACATGTTTACACAGAATGTGCGCGGCGCTGAGGCGAGAGCCACATTTTGAAATCGACCCGCCCGCAATCCGTGAAGCTCTTGCAAATGTTTATAACGAATGAACGCGGCGCTAAGGCGAGAACCACATTTTGAAAACGACCCGCCCTCAGTCCGTGAAATTCTTGCAAAATGCTACAACGAATGCGCGCGGCGCTAAGGCGAGGGCCACATTTTGGAAACGGCCCGCCCTCAGTCCGTGAAGCTCTTGTAAATGTTTAAAACGAACGTGCGCGGCGCTACGGCGGGGCGCTAAGGCGAGGACCACATTTTCAAAACGACCCGCCCTCAATCAGTGAAATTCTTGCAAATGTTTAAAACGAATGTGTGCAGCGCTGAGGCGAAAACTACATTTTGAAAATGACCCGCACTCAATCCGTGAAGCTGTTGTCATTTTCCAGTTTCAGAATCATAAATGGTGAGGAAGTCTCAGGCGAAACGCCCGGCCCGCCCTAACAATTGGCCCAGGGTGCGACAGGGAGAAATTATCTAAAAGGAGAAGGAATGGCTGAGGATGAGGAGGAGGAACACGAGGAGGAGGAGGAGGAGGAGGAGGAGGAGGAAGAGGAGGAGGAGGAGGAGGAGGAGGACGAGGAGGAGGGTGGGGGAGGGGGAAGGACGGAGGAGGAGGAAGAGGAAGAGGAGGAGGAGGAGAAGGATGAGCAGGAACCGGAGTAGGAGGAGCAGGAGGAGAAGGAAGAAGAGGAAAGAGTGGAGGAGGAGGAGGAGGAGGAAAGAGGAGGAGGTGGAGGAGGAGGAGAGGGGAGAGGACGGGGAGGAGGAGGAGCAGCAGAAGCAGGAAGAGGAGGAGGAGGAGGAGGAGGAAAGAAACAGGAGGAGGTAAAGGAGGACAAGGAGGAGCGACGGGACCTGGGGGGAGTCCGCGGGGTCAGCCGGCGCCAAGGCGCAGCTGCGACAATGGCTCTCACGTCGCTCATGCGCTGACGACGGCGCTCGTTGGTGGCCTTTCGGGTGTCTGCCCGCGGGCTGCCAGAGAGATCCAGAGGCCGGCCTCTGAGCCTGCGGACACCTCCGCAGACATTCGGGGGCCGTCCAAGCCTTCCGCCTCCTCCTCCTCCTCCTGCTCCTCCTGCTGCGCCTCCTGCTCCTCCTGCTTGTCTTCCTCCTCCTCCTCCTCCTCCTCCTCCTCCTTCTCTTCCTCCTCATCATCATTATTTTCCTCCTGCTCCTCCTCCTCCTCCTGCTTCTCTTCCTCCTCCTCCTCCTGCTTCTCTTCCTCCTCCTCCTCCTCCTGCTCTTTTTCCTCCTCCTCCTCCTCTTTTTCTCCTCCTCCTCATCCTCATCATCATCATCCCGTTCCTCTTCCTCCTCCATCTTTCCTACTCGTTCCTCCTCCACTTCCCTATTTCCTCCTTCTCCTCCTCCTCCTCCTCTTCCGCCCCCTTCCGTCCCTCCCCCTCCCCCTCTTGGTGCCGGCTCGTCCTCCTCCTTTTTCATTAGCGAATCGATTTTCTTGTCGCACCCCCAAGCGTGTCTGTAGGGCTTGCCAGGCGTTTCGCCTGAGACTTCTCGCTGTGTGTGATTTTGAAACTCGAAAAGAACAACAGTTTCACGTCTGGAGGGTGGGTCGTTTTCAAAGTGTGGTTCTCGGCTCAGCGCCGCGCGCATGTGTTTCAAACGTCGCAACAGCTTCGCGGATGGAGTGCGGGTGGTTTTCAAATGCGGTTCTCGCCTCAGCGTTTCGCACACTCGTCTAAAATGTTTGCAACAGCTTCAAGGATGGGAGGGCGGGTCGTTTTCAAAGCGTGGCTCTCGCTCCAGCGACGCGCGCATTCGTTTTACAAGCCTGCAGCAGTTTCAAGGAGGTCTTTTTTTGTGGCCGAAGGCCCAGGCATGGTGTCACAGCGCGAATTAGCGCTGTCAGCGCGCAGCAGCCTTCCACAATTCGCGGTGTTGAAGTCCCAGGAATAGTGTTCTGGCAGAACTTAGGATGGTCAGGACGCATCATTCATGTCGATCCGCGGCGTTGAAGTCCCAGGAAGGATGGTCTGGCAGGATTGTCGGACGGGTGCCCCTGGATGGTTCCCTGCATGAAGAAATAGAGAACTACGAGGATGGAACTTGGAGGGAGGCTGTATGGCAACATCGTGGATGCGCCTCTGGGTTTACCGTGGCCCTCCCCCCCTTTTTCTCTTCCTCCTCCTCCTCCTCCTCCTCCTCCTCCTCCCCCTCCTTCTCCTCCTTCTCCTCCTCCTCCTCCTCTCCTCCTTCTCCTCATCCCCCTCCTCCTCCTCATCCACCTCCTCCTCCTCCTCCTCCTCCCTCCCTCTCCTCCTCCTCCTCCTCCTCCTCCTCCTCCTCCTCCTCCTCCTCCTCCTCCTCCTCCTCCCTTCTCCTCCTCCCCTCCCCTCATCCCCCTCCTCCTCCTCCTCCTCCCCCTTCTCTTTCTCCTCTCCTTCTCCTCCTCCTCCCTTCTTCTTCCTTCTCCTCCTCCTCCTCCTCTCGCCTCCTCCCCCTCCTCCTCCTCCTCCCCCTCCCCCCCCGCCCGCGGGCCGTCGCGCCCAGGGCGGGCAACTTCTCGGCCAGCTCCCCGGGAGACGCGCTGGCGAAGGTCGGCGTCTTCCAGCGGAAGTACAAGGGCTGGAGCCAGGGCGGCCAGAAGCGCTCGAAGAAGATCAAACGGCAACGACGACGACGACGACGGCGGCGGCGACGACGACGACGACGACGACGAATCTCAGCCGTCGCCGCGCTTGGAAGCAAACTGCGTAAACACAAACTTTTGGCAGTTGTTTCTTCTCCCAAGCGCGGCGACGGCTGCGACTCGTCGTCGTCGTCGTCGCCGTCGCCGTCGTCGTCGCCGTCGTCGTCATCGTCGTCGCTGTCGTCATCGCTGTCGTCGTCGTCGTCGCCGTCGCCGTCGCCGTCGCCGTCGCCGTCGTCGCCGTCGCCGTCGCCGTCGCCGCCGCCGTCGCCGTCGCCGTCGCCGTCGTCGTCGTCGTTGTCGTCGTCGTGGTCGTCGTCGTCGCTGTCGTCCTCGTCGTCGTCGTCCTCGCCCTCCTCGACCAGGCCCAGAGCGCGAGCACAGCCCCTCCGCGGCCGCCGGGGGGCCGAAAGCGCCCAGGCACGCCCTGGAGAAGCGGCCGCATTCGCCTGGCCTTGACGGGGCAGGAGGGTTGTCGTCGCCCTCCTCCTCCTCCTCGTGCTCCTCGAGGAGGAGGAGGAGGAGGAGACGCCCCCCCTCGCCTTCCCTCCTCGTCCTCCCACTTCTTCTCGTTCACCTCCTCGTCGCCCTCGCTCCCCCCCTCCTCACTCCTCTCCTCATTCCTCTCCTCGTCCTCGTCCTCCTCGTTTTCCTCTCCCCATCGCGCTCGCCCCCCGAGGACGCGCAGCTAGTTGTCTTTATACTTTTGCAAAGAAGGGCCGTTAGCCTCCTCGCCTGATGCCCCGTCTGCTCGTCATACTGCTGCTGCTGCTGCTGCTGCTGCTGCTGCTGCTGCTGCTGCTGCTGCTGCTCCTCGCATTTTTCAACAACACCTTTGAAACAACTTGGAACCATTCTAAATCCACCATAACACTATAACCATCCCCTCCTCCCCCACGTCCCCTTCCGCTCCTGATGTCCTCCTCCTCCTCCTCCTCCTCCTCCTCCTCCTCCTCCTCCTGATCCCACTCCTGCTCCTCATCCTGCTCCTCCCTCTCGTTCTGGGGGGTCGTCGTCACGACGACCACGACCACGATAAGGACGACGACGACGACGACGACGACGACGACGACGACGACGACGACGACGACGACGACGACGACGACGACGACGACGACGACGACGACGACGACGACGACGACGACTGCGCCGGCGCCGGCGGCGGCGGCGGCGGCGGCGGCGGCGGCGACCGCCACGGCCACGGCGGCGGCGGCGATGGCGACGACGACCATGATCACGACGACCTCTGGAGTCCCCCGGAGGTCTCCAGAGAGGTCCCCGCGCAGGCGCCCCAGGGGCTCGGGGGTTGCAAAAGGTGCCCCTGGGCCAAGGTGCTCCCAGCTCTTTGCTAGATTCTGGAGCCCCTGGGGGCCCTCTGGGCCTCGGGAGGAGGGGTGCTCTGGAGGCCGTGGGGGGCCTCCCTCGAAATCCTGGGGGAGGAGGAGGGGGAGGAGGAGGAGGAGGAGGAGGCGGAGGAGGCGGAGGAGGAGGAGGAGGAGGCGTGTCTCCTCTCGGAGGGGCGTCATCTCTCCGTCGGGGGGGTCTCCTCTCCGAGGGAGCGCGGTACGCGGAGGCCCGGAGAGCGCCCCCTGCCGCAGGAGCGAGGCCAGCGACTGGCTGCGCGGCGCCGTGGCCACGGTGGCGGGCTCCAGCAGCCTGGAGGGCGGGCTGGATCTCGCGGGCGCGGAGCGGCTCGCCGTGGACGCCGGGGCACGTCGGAACAGGGCGGGCGGGGTGCCAGCTTTCCAGCTCCACCGCCAGGCTGCGAGGTCCTCCCTCACTCGCTCACTCACGCACTCACTCACTCATGGCTTCAAGAGACGAATCCTCCTCCTTCTTCTCCTTCTTCTCCTCCTCCTCCTTTTCCTCCTCCTCCTCCTCCTCCTCCTCCTCCTCTTCTTCCTTCTCCTCCTCCTCCTCCTCCTCCTCCTCCTCCTCCTCCTCCTCCCCCTCTTCTTTCTTCTCCTCCTATCTCTCCTACCCATGGTAGTGGTGGTGGTGGTGGTGGAAAATGCACTCATCAGTGCGGGCGAGGTGATGGAGTAAGGAGAAGGAGCTTGGGTCCCCCCTGGGTTCGGTAGCAACTCACGGGAGCTCCGCACGGCCTTGCAATTCCACCTTGGGAGTGCACTAGCGTGCGCTAGCGTCCATTAGCGTCGGCGAGCGTCGATTCGCAAGAGCCAGGATGGCATGGGAGGCTCCCATTAATTGCCGCCGATCCCAAGGGCGCAAAGATAACCGCGCTTCGCGCGTCACGGTCTGGATCAGAGCGGTTGCCCTTCTCCAAGAAGCGGGCGCCTGATCGATAGAGTGCGAAGACAACCGCGCATCGCTGGGCGCGATGCGCGAATCTAGTTGACTCAGTGAACAGTTCGGGTCTAGAAGGGGCTCGTTATTCCGTAGGAGGGAAAGATGCCGATGCCGCTTGATGCCGCTGCTTGTCCTGAAGATCCTGCGTCGCCACGGCTGGATTCTCCTCGAAATTCTGATCTGACCGCGCCCAGGAAGAAATCCTGGGAGCAGGGGGGAGTTCTGCCTGCATGAAGCCGCGAGTCAGCGGCGCTAGGCACGGGGCAACGTCAAAGGGGGAGCGGCTCGGGGAGGGAGGGATCGACTCCCAGCCGCCCACGGATCGCCGCTAGGGGCACGAGCCCCGCCCGCCCAGGAACCTGCGGTGTCGCTGTCGGGGCATCTCGCCGATCTGGTGGCGATGTACCGCCTCCTGAGCTGGTCCCATCCGAACGTTCCCCCTCAGTCTGAAAGGGGCCAGCACTCTGACTCTGGCGCTCGGGGGGGGGCCAACGTAGATGTGTCTGCGCTCCTTGGCGCTCCTTATGTACACGGCCTGACTGCACAGCGGAGCTGGGAAGAGTGGCTGGGGCCAGCCCTTCCAGATTCCCGGAAAGGGCCCGAGCCCAGGGTTGGTAAACTTATCCCGATCCCCGGTGCCATGTTGGGGAATGGCCGGCGGAATTATTCCCTTGTAAATGTGGAGGTCGGGAAGGGCCAGCGGAATTATGTTTGAGGATATCCCGAGCGAAACGATGTTTTTTGAAATTCCGATCGATAAAACATGGTACAACAAACATGTTAGTTGTTGCGGATGTCTCGAGCGAAACGCTTGTCTTGCAGAATTTGTCGAGGATGTCTCGAGCGAAACGCTTGTTTGGTGTTGTAGTTTGTTCCTCTCCTGGGAACCTTAATTCAGAGGATGTCTCAGGTGAAATGCTTGCTTTCACGTGCCCTGGGCTTGAGGATGTCTCGAGCGATACGCTTGGTTTCATGTGTCCAGATTGCCCAGGCAGATGTCTAGCACGAAGATTTGTTGAGGATGTCTCGACGCTTGTTTTCACGCGTCCAGGTCGCCCAGGCGGATGTCTAGCATGAGGATTTGTTGAGGATGTCTCTCTCTCGAGAGACGCTTGTTCTCACTTGTCCAGGCCGCCCAGGCAGATGTCTAACATGAGGTTTTTCTTTGATAGCGTCTCCAGCGAAAGGTTTGTTTTCACGTGCCCAGGTCGCTCAGGCGGATGTCTAACACACAGGTGTTGAGGATGTCTCGAGCGTGATGCGTGCTTTCACGTGTTCAGGTCGCCCAGGCGGATGTCTAGCATGATGAGGTGTGGAGATCGTCTGGAGCAAGACGCTTGGTCGCCCAGGCGGATGCCTAACATGAGGATATATTGAGGATGTCTCAAGCGACCCGCTTGTTTTCACGTGCCCAGGTCGCCCAGGCGGATGTCTAACATGAGGATGTGTCGAGGATGTCTCGAGCGTGACGCTTGTTTTCACGTGCCCATGTCGCCCAGGCGGATGTCTAGCATGAGGATGTGTTGAGGATTGCTCGAACGAGACGTTTGTTTTCGCGTGCCCAGGTCGCCCAGGCGGATGTCTAACATGAGGATGTATCGAGGATGTCTCGAACGAGACGCTTGTTTTCGCGCGTCCAGGTCGCCTTGGCGGATGTCTAACATGAGGATGTGTTGAGAATGTCTCGAGCGAGACGCTTGTCGCAGTGGCGTGCGTCGCAGTCCAAGCCCGCCCGTCCGTGGGGCGTCCCCTGGCGCGCTGGCGCGTCTCCTGGCGCGTCCCTTGCGACGTTCTGGCGTGACGTGCCCTGGCACGTCCCCCAGCACCCCGCTCGGCGTGGCACGTTCCCTGGCTCGTCCGCTGTCGCTCTTCCTGGCTCGTCCCCAGGCGTTTCCCCTGCCCGCTCCGCGGCGCGCCCCTCGCGACGTCCCCTTGGCATGACGTCCTGTAGCCGCCCCACGGCACGCGCCTTGGCACGTCCCGTGGCAGGTCCCTGACACGTCCAGGGCACGTCCCCTGACACGTCCCCTGGCGCATCCCCGATTGCGCCCCTGGCACATCATGTGGCGCGCCCGTGAGCCTGTGCCCCGTGTCGTGTCGTTTCCGTTCGGAGCTAGGTTGGATTTTGAGGTCGAGTTGATGGAGCGTCTTCCACGTTTCCACTTCACCTAGCTCTGGGGCAGCTACTCTGTGCTCAGGCAGCTCGAGCTTAAGGTCCAAATCAGTTTGGTCAGGACTTGGATGCTAAGGAGGACTCGATCCACAGTGCTACGGAGGAGAATTGCGGCATGGTGCATCGCAATTCAGCACGGCACAGCACAGCACAGCCTTTGGCACGGTACATCCAGATCGATACATTCAGCATTGCAATTGCCCGTCGCCGAATCAGGTGTCTTGAACATGTTGTTATGCCTCACATGTATAGATGCATTTCCGGGTTGGGTTCGTGGGTCGATCATGTTTTCCAGGCATGGCCAGTTTCCCTCCAGTGCTTCCAGCCCTGGCGACCCCATCCCAATTGCTTCGGGCACGCTTCAGCAGCCACCGCCAGTTTTGTCCAGCCCTGGCCAGTTCCACCTTCACGTAATTTCCAACTTCGCCTCGATATGTTGGATGATCGAGTTTCTCGGGCGACCTCCAGAGGCGTCCGTTTTCTGTTGGTGCTTTATTCCCAAGCAGTGTTTTTGCACTTAGAGGTTCTGACTTGCGTTCCAAGGATCTGGGCCTGACCATCATCACCCACCAAACCACCCCAACCCAACCCGAAGGCCTCAATTTGCCCCCCTCCTGGGAACATTCAAAGAGCACATGGGACCCGTAGTACCCCCCAACTCGAAATTCGGGTCAAATTCGGGACTTCGGGTTGGGTTGGGGTGGTCTGGTAGGTGGTCAGACCATCGGTCTGGTGTCCCGTAGTCGCCGTCGCCGCCCCCGTGGCCGCCCGTCGTCCAGGCCAGACCGTCGGTCTGGCGGCCGCACAAACAACATAGTTGGCACAACAGATGTTGCACCACGCAGACTGCACCACACGTGTTGCTCCACATATATTGCACCACATAGTTCCCTTTAAAAAGGACAATGCAGTCAAGACGCTGAAATAAGGAACAGTTTGGGTTCGGGAGGGGCTCGATGTTCCTTAGGTTCCTCCAGTTCCGTTCCTCTTGCCCTCCTGGGGCACGGAGGCGCTTACAGGGCCAAGAAGGGGCTTCGTTCCTTATGTAGCGTTCCTTCTTTCAGCGGCCCGACTGTAGACTCTACCCCATCGGACTTATCGATACCCCTGGGACATTGCAAACTAAAGTCCAGCGGAGTGGGGGACCACATGAGTTCCGAGCAGATCTTTCGCGACTCATTCGGGGACCGCCAACTGCGCAGCTGTCACCACGTTCGTGGGCCCCTGGGATGTTTAGTGGAGTGGAGGTCTACGCGCACCTAGCCGAGACCTCGCGGCTCCTTGGGTGATTGGGAACCGCACAATTGTCGCCATGTTGTGGGCTCCTGGGAGGTCCAGAAGAGGTGAAGGCAGCGCGGATCACTTCGAGACGTCGCTGGTCCCTCGGGGGCTGCGATCTGCGCAACCGTCGCCACCTTCGTGGGCTCCTGGGAGGCACGGCGGAGGTGAGGGCAGCGCAGATCACGTCGAGGCCTCGCGGCTCCCTCGGCGGTTGCGAATTGCACAACCGTCGCCATTCTCGAGGGCTCCTGGGAGGCACGGCGGAGTGCGGGGCAGCGCAGACCGTTCTGAGATTCCACGGCCTCGCCGGGGGGGCGACGAACTGCGGAGCCGCGCCGCGCTCGTGGCACCGTGGGAGGCACGGCCGAGCGCAGGGCGCCCACACGGCGCGTGCTCACGCGGCGCGCGGCGCCGTCGTTTCGCGCGCGGCGCGTTTGCATCAGAGGGTGCCGAGTGCTAGGCGTGCTCGGATAGGGGGGCCAAATGCGAACCCTACCCCTACCCCCCACGATTTCTGAAGGGGAGGCTGGGGTTCGCTTCGTTCGGGAGCTCACGAGCGAAGCGAACCCCACCCTCCCCCTTAAGAATCGTGGGGGGTAGGGGTAGGGTTCGCATGTGGCCCCCTATCGGAGCGCTTGTAAAAAAAAGAAGTCGCCTCGCGTGGAGACGGAGCTGGGTACGTCCCGGATACCCACGCGTAAGTCGAGCCTGTCCCCCTACGGGAGGACTATTCCCAAAGAGTCAAGAAATAGTCTGGGCTCTATGCTTTGGGTATTGTTTGACAATTTCGGTGTCTTTGTTTACTATGTTTAACTTCTCGTCCACAATCCCCGGTGTAGGGGGACAGGCCCGACCTAAACCTACGCCCAAGAGCGGGGATGACGGTCCAGGCATGCCGTCCTGGCCCGTCTGCTGTCGCGGCGTGGGCTCGCTGCAG